TGTCAGAGTTTGGCTAAACTCCATTTTACGCATCAAAGAAGACTCTTTACGCATCAATACGACGGCCTGCCAAATAGTTTGGCTAAATTACATTTTAGTCTCTTAAACTATAGACACCTCCCACTTTAGTTCTTAAAGTTCATTCTTGGACTCTTTACCTCTAATAGAGTTTCAAATTTGCCCTACTTCAATCGAACATTTACACAATTTTCAAAACTAGTGGAATAGTTTTATTCTACGTCAAGTGTCACTTGCCTAATATTACATTATTTTTAACAATTCTACTAATAAATGTTTTAAAGTGAGATAAATTTGATACTTTATAGGATACATTATTTAAAATTTAAGGACTAACGTGGGAACATATCTAGGTTTTAAGGGTCCAAAGGTTTTTTTTTTTTTTTTTTGTTTCTGAAGTGAAAGTTACTTAAAGAGTTTGGCAATTTTCTTTAGTACCAAAGGCTAGAATAAAGTTTGAAATCGCAAAACGAGGGCAAGGGAAAAATTTGACAATAGCGAAAGGAACTCTCCATCACAAATCAAACTAGCTTAAAACAAGTTAAATTAATCTGTAAAGTTCAATTCACAAACTCTAACTCTTTTTCTTCTTCTTTTGGTTGATTTATTAGATACTCCAAGATTTTCAAGCCAATACGAGAAAGGACAGGGTTTGATAATGACACCAAAAATTTCATGTCTATTTGAGTAATGTCTCTAAAAACCCTTAACACATTGATAACGAAACAAAAAATTTTCATGATTATTTTTTAAATAGTGAACCTATTGAACTTCCAAATTGTAGTTCCAGATCATTTTTTTTTTATTTATTTTGATGTTAAATGATATGGATAATACATGACCATTAAAGAAAATACTGGAAGTTGGTTCAATCCTTTCAACTTCTGGGTCTAATATGAAATCGTATGGTGCCATGAGCGATTCGCTGCCCAACTATTCAAAGTTGCCAATCTGTTTTCATAACATTGGCTGCAAGAATCCATAAATAACGACAATGGCTAATGAAGACACCAACCTTTTATGTTGCATCCAATCTATCATTGCGTGAAATCTTTTTTTTTTTTTTTTTGATTTTATACTATATTATTTTGGGTTTTTTGTATTTTTAATATTGTACCAGCATGCTCCACATGATTTTAGCTAATAAAGATTGAAGGGATGCAAACAAATGTCAATACATTGCACCACCAATCTGTAATAGTCTACATCAAGGAACTATTAAAGATGATGATACAAAGAAGTTTTGGATGGTTATGAAGAAGCACACTTAATTGGAGAACAAAATTGAAGATAGAGTAAACTAAATATATATTGTCAATTAACAACAGATAACCATGGCAGTCATCATCAAGGGACACATAACATATGCTAAATCATGTATGGATCTCTAAATATTTTCCTCAGCATTGTTGAATCCTATGGTAGAGGCTTGGAGGTAATGCCTTTCTCTTTACATGGCAAGATATAACACTTTGAAAAACTCCAAACACGCCGTCTAGCCAATCATCTCCTAATCGTGTTATATGTTCAAAAGGTACAAAATGTGGTATTTTCTTCTTCTTCATTATTTTTTAATCATACATATATTTATGTATATAATTCATCATTGAGAGCATTAACCCTAAACAGATGAGTATGGTGGTGCTCTAACAGCAGCAGATCAAACAAGAACTTGATATGAGCGAAGTCAGCTCATGAAGAGAAAAAAAAAATAAGAAGGGAGTACCAAGCCTAGCCTCTAGAGATAACGCTTTAGGAATTTTTTTTAACTCTAACGGATGGTACAAAATCACTTTTTAAAGAGAACCTTCTTCCATCTAGGGACGATGCTCGTTTATTCAGTATTGAACTATCCATCGCAGTCATATCAATTTTATTCAATTATTCAGTAATTTCTTTTGATTATCAACTTGTTCTACCTGATCTTACTATTAGTGTTTTTTTTTATGGATAGCGCCATTTTCTAGCACGGTTTTGTCGGTAAAAATAATCAAATGGATTCATTGTGTAGAAGCGTGCTCCACAAGAATTGGCACCATAATAAATAGAAATTTGGATGTAAGCAAATGTCAATATCATTGCACCTCTAATCAGTTTTGTCTACATCAACAAGATTATTAAAGATAACAGAAGCTTTGGATGATGATGATAAATTAAGGATAGTTAATTGCACAAAAACTACGAAAAATAAAGTAAATTGAACATAAAATTAATTCAACTCGAAACAGACCTTTCCTACAGATAACCATTTGCATATATCCAACCGAAGACATTAAAGTAGCAGTAGCCTCATATGAAGCTAAAAAGAAACCAATCATGAACCGCCTACCACAATATCAACTGCAATGTTTTCTTGTTAAAAAAAATTTGATTAAACTATCGTTGTTACATCACTTAGTTTTCTTTAGGGCAATTTACACCAACCTCCCACCAATTCTGCTAAAAAACTAAAAAACCCCTACTTAATTTAAAAATAATAGAAACCTTCCCCTAGTTTGTTAGACAAAATCATAAACCACCCCTTTTGTTAACTTTCTATTGGAGTCGATACACATTCAGCAAATATCTCCATATATTTCCTAAAATGCCCTTTTTGTGGATAGCACGATAAGAAATACTTACATTTTATCTTTAACAATATTTTGAATTATCAGTTGCATTTTATCTTGAGTGTTGAGTGAAATTAGACCAAAACATATAAATTTATGTTTAAGCAAATACATGTAGATTTATGTAAGAAGCGCTGCACAAAATTTACCCAGGCCACCTCCTCTTAGATAATATCAGTTGTAGAAAAGTTCTGCTAGAATAATTATAAGCAAACAATTGTTCCAATTAATTAGAGGAAAATTTTGTATTAGTTCATCGTATTTTAGCCTTGCTAACTATCATGGTCTACTATGTCTCATGTTTGGCGATGCCTTTCCCATACAACAATCAACTATTATGCAAGTCAGCTTCTACAATGTACTACAAAGAATGAGAGGCATGGATGTTTTAAGAAACTGAAAAATAGGAAAGATAGCCAAAGGCCCAAAGAAAAAAAGTAATAAAGAAGAACTAAGGAATTTAGAAAATGAAACAAAGAGAAAAATAAAACCAAGGGTAAATTTGTCCACTTGCATTTATCAGTGACGATTATGGATGAAGAACACATGGAAGGGAGATCTTTACTATTATGAAATTAAGAGAGGAGATTCCTAACTTTTTTAAAAAGAGAAGGGTTAAATCCACATTCCTCTGTGCTAAATCCACACCCTATACATTTGTTAGACATTGATACCCTTAGCTTTTAAAAATCAAATTAAAAGTTTATATAATAATATCTTTTCTAGAGCAAAAAATTCACACCATGATCTTTATGTAAGTTTTATATACAAATTCATTTTTCTTGCTTGTTTCATTTCAAAATTTATCTTTCTCTAAAGTTGCTTTAATTTTGCTCCTCTTTCCTATTATATATGATTTACTACCTTTCTTTTGTTAAACCTTTTTTTTTTTAACATTTACACATAACCAAATGGTAAATATTAGTATGCAGTCAATATGAAGGCATATTCCACCTTGAAAATTGCTTAGATTTTGATGTTATGGAATTGAAATATGTAGACATTGCTATTTACATCATTATTAGTAATTGAAAATTTTTGATAGCTAGAATAAATTTGAAATTATAAATTAATATTCTCACACATTTATAAAATGTTTGAAAATATTCCCTATTACAATGCAAACATTTGTTATTCCTCTTTTTTGTGATGCAAATATATGTTTCTTAAAACTATTAAAAAAGCATCAAATAAACTTAAAACTAAAAAGCTAAGGCCATTTTTTGTCCAATTAGTGCATAGGATGTGGATTTAGTATGGAGGGGTGTGTATTTAGGCACTCCCAAAAATTAGAAAGAAAGTTAGTGTTATTTACCCTTTTCTTTATATGAACAACACAACCAAACACATTTGAACGTGCTTTCAATATATTCCATATTACAATGCAAACATTTTTTTTTTCCTTTTTTGCCATGTAAATATATGTTTCTTAAAACTATATTAAAAAAAGCATCAAATAAACTTAAAAGCTAAGGCCATTTTTGTCCAAGAAGCGCATAGGTGTGGATTTCGCATGGAGGGGTAGGGATTTAGCCACTTCAAAAAATTAGAAAGAAAGTTAGTGTTATTTACCCTTTTCTTTATAAGAACAACACAACCAAACACATTTGAACATGTTTTCAAATGTGTTTGTAAAAGAAATTATTTAAAATAATTACTGTAATACTTTTTGTGATATAATGTATATCAAATAAAAAGTAGTTGAAAAAATAAAAGTATGTTGAAAAATATTATTATGATACAAGCAAATATTTTTGTAGCAAATAATTGTTAAACACACTCTTTGTTCCATTGGATTAGTGTGAAAAATAAAGTAAAACAAGCATACAACTGTTTTACCTTAATACTCAAATCAATTTGGTAGGTTGTATCAATTTCTCATTTTTCTGCACATTCTCGACTGCTGGAAGATGTATTACCCAAAAAACATTGGATTGCCACACTGTGTTATTGAAACTGCATCATATAGCTTGCTAAGTAGCTGTATATCTCCAAAAACTAAAAGCTCGCCATTTTCAAATTTTTTTTCTTTCTTTTTCTTTCGTTTTTACCTTTGCACAACTCTTTTTTTTTTCTTTTCTTTTTGTTCTGATGAAATAATTATTAGACAAATTTGTGGGAAAAATAATCTTTTATTCATGCTACTGCACTTTTTTGTATTTGTTATTTTTGTTATTCTCTAGCTATATGACGGTAAAAGAACTTCTAATTTTGGCCTACAGCGAAAAGCTTATATCAAATTTTTACCCCATTATTTCTAACAAATAACAATGCAAGTCCAATCGACCCCACCACGCTCAACCTCAAATATACAAATCCTTTCGAATTGACAAGACAGGGAAAAAATAAATAAGCTGAATCTAACTCTACGACTTGGTAAACTCCAAGGGATTGCATTGGCTGATGAAGACTACACAACAAGCAATAACAATCATTTATATCAGAGTGAGATTTTCAGAAATCTTGTATGCTAGCATGCAAGATTTATCAGAATAGGGTATACAAAGTCAAGGAATATATACAAGTTGAGATGATGGTCATATCAAATGTAGATGCAGCACGCGCAATCTTCTGTCTAATCAAAGCTGTCAGGTAAATCCAAAACTTGACCATCACACCCAGTACGATTATGTAATCCATGTAGATAACACTTGAGGATTGTGCAGCATCATGAGGATGGTTGTAAAGTCCGGGCTTGCCGCAATCTCTCATTCCTTGCACATTCCTCCTAAAAATTGGACAACTTGATTGATAAGTAACTTCTGTTCAAGGCTGTAGTACACTAAAGCACCACTGTGATCAATCCAAATTCCAACATTACAGCTAACAACAAACTTTTAAGTTCCCAACACAAGCTTAATTCGTAAGGGCGAGTCACTTTATCATAAAAGGTTGCATGTTTGAATTTCGCTGCTGATGCGAGGGCTATATTTGTGGGCAATCTGTACGAATCCTATAAGCAACCTATGATTCCAAGGGTAATGCCCTGATCCGTGGTGGTGACCGAAGCTGAACCCACCTAAACTTTTCTTACAAAAAAAAAACTTTTAAGTCGGAGGAAATACATTATGCTGACATGCCAAGCTACAAGTGACAAATTAGTTATCCATGATTGGTTTTAGAAGTTAAACTGGTTCCCAAATAGAAAAAATCACAGGATCGTAAACAGTTAATAAAAGGAAACAGGACAGAGTGAAAAAGATAGAGATTATACTTTTCCTTTTTTATTTCCAGCAATTCTTAAATTTTGAAAAACTAAAGTCTATTTCAAGTGTCAAGACAGAATTTTTCCGTTCATTCAATTCTTATTTGTTAAGACATCCCACTTTTCTGGACTGCCTTTGTCATGGAAACCAATAACATGTAACTTTAACCCATGTGTGTCTGGAACTTGCAACAAACAGAGGTTTTTCTATTCCGATAGCTATCCTTGTGAAATATGTCATTTCCTCCTATTCAGCTATATCTTAAAGATCTGTACAGAAACTGTTTTTGGTTAATAAAAAGCTATATCTTAAAGAGAAATAGCATATTCTTGAACAGCGTGTACAATTAATTCTTTGTACTTTCTTCAACATTGAAAACAACATAAAGGTTGCCATATATATATATATATATATATATATATAAGAACAGAAAGGTTTTCTTCAACTCCTCACCTGGAAAGCCTTCAAGAGAGAGTAGCAGTGTCTTTGCTCTGAAATAGCTATTCTATGCTTCTCTTTTAGAGCCTCACAAGCCTTTTGCTCAGATTCGAACGCTAATTGCACTTTTTCCAGTTTCTGCAAAGAAAACCAGCTATAAATGATGGAAGTGCTTGATTTCTACAGGTCATGGAACCCCTAATACAGGCAATCAAGTTAAATCCCAGCAAGGACATATTTAAATGGCACCATAACCCTAGCCACCCAAAAAATTGTGAGACTAGCCAAATTCAAAGTGCGTAGTTCCTTAAGTACCCATACACTGATTGTACTTCTTTTACATTTAGTACCTCATACTGAGACTTGTAAAGCATGAATTCAAAAGATCCCATCAGTATAACTGTCAGAAGTTTGGACTATCAAAAACTAAAGCTGACAATTAAATTCTTTTCACCTCAGCTTGCCAAGAGAGATAAAAAGCTAAATCCTTGTACACCATATCTTAGGCACTTAAATTTGTATTTCAATATTAAAGTGTTCATTTCTTACATCTTCACTTCTTTCTGTAACAAGCGGTTAAAGGCCATGGAGATGCAAAAAGTAGGCTAAATGAAACCAGTCCAACAGATAAAACCAGAAGAAGTTAAATAACATTACAGTTTCCATGTTACTGAAGTTTCAGAAACCGACGAGGGTTAAATATTATCAAGGTCTTCAGGTTCAGGCTGTGCTCAACAGTTAACCTCTTTTGCCATTGAAGATACTTATACAAAATTCAGTTTGGCAAGGAACATGCCCATGATGCTTACAGAACTAGCAAGAAAGATCAAACTTGGAAAAAAGAGTACCCACAAAAAAGGGTAACAATAGGTCTCAGAATACACCTAGCCAGTTAAATTACAAAAAGGCCCTTCACTACTTCAAAATCTCACAATGAATGGAATAAGAAATATAAAATGAAAACTACATAGTCAGTAGGAAAACTAACAAACAAAAAAGCTCCTAGCCGAGAAGGCAATAAAGGAAGCAGCACAGAGTGGCCCAAGATTGCACATATTCCCCATACTAAAATCCGTTGAACAAAGTCAGTAGGAAAACATAATTTGTTGATTCTCATGTTTCTTTGTTTCTTTATAACTTTACTGTGAGCAATATTTCCTAGCCGAGAAGGCTTTTTGCAACCTTAAGTTCTTTTATTGGGCAAAGATGGATTTAAAGAATTCGAAAGTTCACTAATGATTAAGGTCTTTCAATGCAACTAAATATAAGCCTGTGAAGCATTTGATTGACTTGTAAGACAGACAAGCTAAATTGATTTTTTCTTCACATGCATGAAAAATAATAACACTGGCACCTGCTGAATCCCCTGCAGAATGCCCTTCATGGAATCAACGAGTTTTGTTCGGCCAGTGGGGCTGGTGATGGCATTTTGGAACTATTCAAGTTTACATGCAACCAAAACATGAAGGATAAGAATATATCAATTGTGTAAAAATTAAACAATCAAATCAGTTCCCAGAATGATATAGTACTCAACTGACAATATATTGCACAAGCACAGAAGTTTAAAATGGTCAGCATGTTAAACATATGCAGCAGATATTCATACAGCATGTTAAGAAATTGGCTTAATTTCTTTGGGCAGGTTCCTTGCTTTGTGTGGAAATAACTAGTTTCCTAATTGTTTAGTTACTTGAAGTAGTTGACAAGTTATTTCCTATTTTGTATAAGTTTAGAAATTCATAGTTGTTTCCTATTGTTATTGGTTCTTGGCCAAGTAACATTCTCTATAAATAGATAGATTAGCATTCTACAAAGACACACAAGAAAAGGGATGAGAGGGTTCTTGATAGGAGAGAGTGGTTATACAAGGGTTGAGTTTGGGATTCAAGTTGTAATCTTGTAGTATTTTCTCTCATAATAACAACAGGTTTTCTCTCCAGGGATGTAGGCTTGGTGATTAAGCCAAACCACGTTAATTCTTGTGTATGACTCATTATTCGTGCTAGTTCTTGTTTTCTATTAAATTGTTGGTTTTTCATATCTCAAATAGTTGGCCTGATACCCTAACACAGCACAATCCACAGAAAGTGACTTTCCAAAATAGCTTTTATGTGTTGCTTAAAGTAGCAAAAAAGGCACATATAATTCATCTTCACTACGGATGTCCCGAAAACGAAATCAAAAGCATCGACCAATCTGCCACAGACATAAAATTCTTTGATATTGTGGTTCTACAGTGACACCTTCGCCATTTAAGCCATGCCTTGTCTTCATGCAGCATCTGATGGAGTTTAACTTTTACAGATTGAGGACTCTACATCAATTAAAATTGGTTGAACTCAGAATAATATGCTCTAGCGTAAATCAAGTTTCTCAAGTTCTGAATAGAATAGTTAAGCTTACAGTTTAAGAGTACAATAACACACTCAATTTTGAAATTCCAACATATAAAAGTTTTCCTTCATTGACAAATCTAAATAAAATCCATCAAACTCCAAGGCTCCTAGCAGCATGTACTCAGAAAGTAAGTTCTTTTGCACATAAAGAGTCTTATACAGATAAACACAAAAGAGAATTTGAATCATACTCGACTGCAGTATTTTTACAAGAGGTATAACACATTGTTTCAACTCTAGGCTAAAAATGCTCCACAGCAAATTTTTAAGAGGTAGAATTAAATTATAGAACACATAGGCCCATAATAAGAAGACAACCTGGAGCAATGTTACGTTGCAAAGAGGACTTAGTTTAAGCAAATTATCCATGGAGCTTGTTTCATTTTTTACAAATAAAAAAAAAATTCTTAAATTTGTGCAATCACCAGACTAATGAGACAACCAAATGAAGGAATGAGGGGGTTTTGAATTCCATAAACAGAACAAGAGGCAGGGAAAAGGCTCCATATAGAACACCATTAGAAGAGTGAACATCTAGAATGCAAATAGCTTGGAGAAAGACATGAAAATGCATATTAAGGCCTATTACAGACTCAACAATTTCCTTCTCTTTCCATGCACTGTCAAGCATCATTCTCCATTCATCTCTTCCTACTTCCAGGTAGTGTCTTGTCCCTTGGTTCACAATTTTGGCTTAGCAACTTCCCTCCATCACCATCCACCTAATAACTCCACTCACCATTCATTGTTAATGTCTGAAAACATCTTTCTCTTCTTATTCAGCACAAGGTCACCTCTGAATCTTATTAGTTGTCAACCAATGCTGCCTTTCAACTACTTAAATTTATCAAGTCCACTTAAAGGGCCTCAATCTCTTCAGCCAGTCAGCCATTCAAAGGCCAAGCATTAGTTCCACCATATGTTCTCCTACTATCTTAACCATGCCAAATAAGCTCTTGGATCCAAGAAACCCACTTGTAGAATCAAGCAAAGTAATTCTACATTAATAGGGAAGCCTGTACCAGATTCTAGTACAAACATTTTTGATCACCAGAGATAAAAGTTCCAACATATGAATCTCAATGCCTATTGTTCAGTAATGCAACTCTGAATAACTGAGTGGCTGGAGCTTTCGAAAAATCTAAGGCTCTAGTTCTTGAGCATTTCATATCAATAGTGATCCATTTGCTTCATTTTTACATTCATCAAATAAATTAGCCATATAATATATAGGATAAAATACTCCTACTTTTAGTACCCAAAAAACAAAAAAAATGGAAGCAAATGCAACTTACATCTCACAACACAATCATTGCATGCCCAAACCAAACAAACAAGAAAACAGGGTTATGCCACTCTTTTTACCTGTGAACTTATGGAGTTGAGCAAGGATGTCTCCTTTAGCATTAACTCCTTTATCTCCAGTAGTGCATTGAAGGTTTCATAGTATTTTCGAGTTTGTCGAAGCTTTTTCTGAAGAATACCAGTGACACGACAATTTAGTGGCTAAATGCCAATAAATGATTTTTTTTTTTTTTTAAATGCATCAAACATGCAGAAAATGTCCATACCTGAATGCTGGTATAAAGCTGTGAAAAGCATAGTTCGTACCTGAAAATAAAGTTTATTGGATTATTATACTATACGGAGAAACAAAAGTCGTAAAATGTACTACTGCATGGCCTAGTTTCCTACAACAGAACACCATGACCCGTTAATAGTCTGAAACTTTTCTTTACCAAATCAACGATCACAAACAGGTCTCAGCAAGTGCAGAATGCCAAAAAAGTGGTTTTCTTTGTATGAGAAGTCCTTGCTTTCATGACAAAAAATAAAAATTCTTGAGAGTAGCAATAATAGTAAGACACTTTAATTGCTAAATGAATTTCTAAAGCAATACCGCTATGAAAAACTGACATACTGGAGGAGTTCAGCAGGTACGGGAATGTCATCAAGCTGTCTTCTTAGCAGTAAGATAGCTCTTAATTTAGATGCGAGCTCCTGCCAACAGATCATAAACAATTTGCCACACACAATTTAATAATCCTAACGAATATGCCCTTTGAATTGTACTTAAGGCCCTATGCTGATTGATAAAGAAACATTCTGACAGGCAAAGAAATAGGAAAACTAGAAGGGTAAACAGGAAATCCAAAAATCAAAACAACATTTTAAGTGTTTCCGATGTCTCCAAAGATCCCAATAAGTAACTAAGCATGCCTAGAGTACCAATAAGGCACAGCAGAGGGTGATAAACTACTGCACTTCATAAAAAACAACCCAAATTGAGGGTATTTGTCTGGGTTTTCACCTTTAAAAGAGTGAGGTTTCCACCTCGGCCAAACTAATTTCTCTTTCTCTGGGAAACCTACATATGTAATAAAGTAGTATATCAAAGATAATTCACTATAGCTCCTTCAATTATTTATAACTCCTTGGTCACCAACCACAATCCTTATGCCATTCAAGAAAATCAATTTAGTGACCTACTACTGAGAATCATAAAGTCAAATACTTAAAGGATCAGAAGTTTTTATAAAAAAGGGGCATTTCAATGACTGCTTCGAGTATAAATAATTTCTATAAAAACTAATGTCATTTCAATATCAAATCCTTTCAAGCTGTAGATCTAGGAGAGACACAAAGGATTTAGTGCTTACCTTCTTCAGCATATTCAGTCTCTCCTTAGACTCATTTATACTGTCATCAAGAATGCCATACACAAAATCCCCTCCTACATCATTTTGTAGCATATCCTCGAGCTCACTAACCTCAGCCAACAATTTCGCATATTCTACAATACAACGGGATTGGACTTCTGATTCCTGCCTTTCAAGATCCTGCAGCAATCCAATTTCCAAGTAACAAAACCATTAGATAACACACCAACATACACCTACATTTGCATGCATAAATGTCAGCATGTAGCTAAATACCCATATGTTTATTCATACGGACACGTACTAAGAAATGACCATAACCCACCCCCCGGGGATTTAAGAATATGTTATTTCCAAACAAAGCTACAAATCTCACTTACTTCCAACCAAAAAGTAAATTCGGCCCTGCTAAAGATCAAAAGGACAAACATAGAGTCCCACTGCCTCCCCCCCCCCCCCCCAAAAAAAGTCCTGACTCCTGCATCCACCAGTGAAGTGTTAGGTACTATTTATCTTATTAATTTTCATTTTCTTCATGAGCTTTAGTCAGTTTTGTCTATGTTCTTTTTCATACTTTTGTCATAAGATCATAAACAAACAAAAAAAAATTATCAAATTTGAGAAGAGAATGCAAGAAGAGCACTATTACTCACTAACATATTTATTATCAACGTCGCAACTATTGAATGATCAGATCGAGAAGCTAGAAATAAAACAAACTAGCTCTAAAGTGCATCCATAACACATTGCAAAAGAAGCAACTTTCCAAAAAGTAATTCATTGGACCCTGTAATTCATATTGACAAATACAAACTTTTGGCACAAAAAGAGCAAGAAAAAACTAATGATTAAAAAGTTCCAGAGAATCATAAGCAAACCTACCTCGATTGCGTCCAAAAGTGATTCCAATTTCTCAACCGTTGTTGAATCTGCAGAGGTTTCATAATTAATCTCATTAAGACCCTGCAAAAAAAAAAAAAATTTTTTACAATTCTTCACCTTTCTTCGGGTCATATAGGGAGAATTAGAATTAGAGGAGGAAAGAATCATCAAGCCTTATAAATTGAACCGTAAGGAGTGATAATTACCTTATCCATCTTTGATGATGAAGTTTGCAATTTTGTGTGATTTCTTCTTTCTCTGCAATGTCTGGTGTCGACTCTGGAAGCGTTTGTGAAGGAATTAATATTTTGGGTAAATTACATTAGAGCTCCTCTTAATTTTTATAATTGAAGAAACTGCGCGTTGATTTTTGAAATTATAGTTACACTAGAATAGTCTTATAGGATTTTCTCATCGGCCCCATGTTTGATCCATAGTTTAGTTGTTGCCAAGGAAAGAAAATTTCCAATATTAGTAGTCAATCATGGTAAATTGTCAATTTCTTTTAATAATCTTTGTAAAAACTATATTGGTTATTTTTCGCTTCTAGAATTAGTAGTCAATAATCAAGTATATAATTTCATTTCTGAAAATTTTGAAATTCTTACAATTATTTGTAAAAGTATTTCAATAGCAGCTTCTCATAATTATGATTCTTTTCCTCTTTTAACTTAATACAACAAAAAATACAAAATCAAAATAAAAAAATACTTTTAACTTAAAAATATTATATAATAACATGATTTTAAACCATCAAGTACGACTCATGATATTTAACCTAGTTTAAAAGTAGTGTTGATCAAATAAGAATGAAAAGATTTGTTTTAAAATATCTTATTGTGATATTCCTAGTAAGGGATCTATTTATATAACTTAGTTAAAACTCTTTATGTGCTTCTAAAATGGCTTTCCATTATTCTGATGACTTTTAGAATTTTATTACTTCTTTAATATTAAAATTTAATATATTACAAAAGAACATTATACCATAGCTTTTGTAATATTGGGCGTATCATTATCTAATTAGATATCAAATAATAAATATATATTAACAATATATATACATATATATATTGTTTTCAAACTAGTGTCTAGTCAAAAGTGGCAAATAAAATAACTTACTATTTTCTTTTCGATAAATGGATTCACAATATGTTATCCAAATATTAATGTACAAATCGAGTAAACATGGAATGGAAGGTCCAAATTGTTGCTGATAGGACTTCAAGGGAGTTAAGTGCAATCTTTCCGAGACAAAATACAAAAGAGAACATTAATTCGTAGGAGTAATTATTAAAAGGGAAAATAGTCATTTTCGTTCCTAAACTTTTTTTGTCCGTCAATTTAGTCCCTAACTTTTATTTTTAGTCAATTTAATACATGAATTTAATTTTCGGATCCAATTAAGTCTTTCTACGGCAGCGCCGCCACCTAAAAGTAATTTAACTCATAATTTAACATTAAACAAGGGCATTTTGAGAACTTTAAATTATCTCTTCACCACTACCAGCCTCCACCACCAACCACCCCCCTCCTCCTTCATGATCGGCGATTTTGGATATACCAGCAACACCAGTAATCCACCGCGCGGAGGGATTACTATGGCTCCGCGGCCTAAAATTTGAAAGATTGGAGAAGAAGCCAATGTTTCCCAGCAAGAACAGAGCAATAACAACCACGCATGTCAAAATTATCCACATCCACTGCTGCATTTTTCTTTTACATCTGTTCCTAAGTGGCGGAGGGATAGATTTTGTCTTGCTTTGCTTCACCACAACTGATGGTTTTTGAGATCTTTTGGTAACGGTAGGAAAACAGTACTTAACCTCATATTCCTTTATTGTTCCAGGTACGATTTCAGATTTTGGAGTGCATTCCCCAATATCGTTTCCATCGGGAACTTCTGCTCCATCGGCCTTCTTTCTCTCCTTCTTCCTCAACCTCTTCTCCCTTTCCTAGACAAATCAAACGGACGTCATTGATGGAAAGCCAAGTGAAGAAAAGCACACTTACTCAGGCACATGAATTGGAAATTTAAAATTTCTTACCTTGTCTCTGAGCTCGGCTTCTTTCTGTGCTCGTAATTCAGCCCTCATTTGCGCTTTCTCTGCGATCCTCTTTTTCCTCTCCAGTGCCTCCAGAGCCTTAGCTTTCTCCTCTAGTCGCCGTTGCTCCCTCAACTTGGCTGCTGCCTCTGCCTTCGTTAACTCTTCAGCCTTCCTTGAGATGCTCTGATTTTGTCTTATTGTGTCAGTGAGTCTGGAAGAGGGAATTCCTATTTATACTCTAAACATGCATGCCTAAGGTGGCTGGGCTTCTCTTTCAAACATGGGATTCCACTCTTGGAGACTTGAGGCTTTTGTGATTTTTACCGCCATGGAAAAACTTGGGTACTATAGTTGTTATGGTTGACAATTTGCAGAATGCGTGGGGCCTGCATTTTTCATTGTTTGGGCTTTTGAATAATTGGGTTGGTGAAATTATGGGTTCGATGCAAATTTCGCAGGTGGAAGGTTGGTTTTCTTGGGGTAGTTGAGGCGGTGGTTGTGGCTGTGGTAGTGGTGAGAGGGGCAGCTGCTGGGGTGGCAGTGGTGGTGGTGGTTCATCTTCATTGGTGGGGTTTTGAGATTGCAGGGGCCTCGCCAGGGTTGCCAAATTGCCAAAATGTATTCCAAAATCGCCGATCATGAAGGAGGAGGCGGGTGGTTGGTGGCGGAGGCTGGTAGTGGAGAAGAGATAATTCAAAATTCCCAAAATATCCTTGTTTAATGTTAAATTAGGAGCTAAATTACTTTTAGGTGGTGGCGTCGCCGTAGAAGGACTTAATTGAATTCGAAAATTAAATTCATGTATTAAATTAGCTAAAAATAAAAGTTAGGGACTAAATTGATAAACAAAAAAAATTTAGGGAAGAAAATGGCCATTTTCCCTTATTAAAAGGAAAAAGGTTTGAAGTCCCCAGAAACCCTGCACCTCTGAGAAAACAAGTTTAAAACCCTAGAACTTTCCACTGCTTACCACTCTCTACTCGTCCAGTCCTCGTCCTCCGCATCGGGCTAACAATGGCGACTATGCTGGTAAGTTGTCCTTTCTAGATTCTCTACGTATATCGCATGTATGCAAGTTCGCATCTTTTGCTGCTTCATTTCTTTGTAATGTCATGATTCGAAGAATGTGAGAGAAAAGTATATCAGAAACTGCAGAAATGAAGATGATTCGGAAATTTTACGACCACCAAGCTCACTTCTTAAAGATTAGGGGTAAAATTTATGTTGAGAAAAAACGAAAGAAAGAAAGAAAGAGTAGGAGAAGTGCTGTTGATCTGTTGAGTGTGAGCTCTTTGTTGCTTAAATCTGTATGTTACAAAGGTAAGCTCAATCGAGGTGTTTTTGTTAGTGCGGTTTAGTTGGAAAAAAAAAACTCGTTTTATTGAGTTCCTGTAGGTTTAATAAAATGTAAGTGCTTGAATTTTTCTTTTCTTTTTTTTTAGCCCTGTTTTCTCTTTTTTAGTTTTTGGGCAATGGGAAGGAAGAGATAGGGAAAATGTATGTCAAAATGCTTTATTCTTTATGTTTCTACAGGAAGCGAGGGAAATTAAGGGAAAAAAATGACCAAATTGTTGGTGAAATTTGTAAAATTAGTGGGATTTTCTATTGCATTTTTTTAATATTTTCAACAGTATTAAATGAAAAATTTTGCATCTCCATATAAATAATAAAATATTCAAGAAATAACGTTCCATTTTATTAATTAGAAAGAGAAGGTAGTTTTTTTAATATGTTAAATTTGCTTGATTTAGCTTACTGTATAGAGAGTTGAAGAATCTGAAGATAAATTAATCCTTCAACTAACAGTATTCCTGTATGTGGCAATAAAACAGCAACCTCAGATCATACTGCTAAAGGAAGGCACTGATACATCCCAAGGAAAGCCACAGTTGTTGAGCAATATAAATGCTTGTACAGCTGTGGCTGATGTGGTGCGCAGCACCCTTGGACCTAGGGGTATGGACAAGTTGATCCATGATGAGAAGGGTAACACCACTATTTCCAATGATGGTGCCACAATAATGAAGCTTCTCGACATTATTCACCCTGCGGCTAAGATTCTTGTTGACATTGCCAAGTCCCAGGACTCTGAGGTACCTCTATTGTGGTTACTGCAGTTGGTTTTGTGTTTTTGTTTTCATGAATGATCGATGTTGTTTGATGCAAATTCATTTGAGTCAAGAATAATGATTTCTTTTTTTTTTCTAAATATAAAATTAGTGGATTAGCAGCATGTTAGAAATATAGTCATACTGTGATTTTTGAGTAATGAAAAAATAGGAATTTCTGCAACCATGTAGCAGATGGTCTGTTCTAGTTTGCTTCTACTCGGTGTCACATCTGTCATGTGACTAATCTGCTAGCTGGACAATAAAAAAGTGGGATGCCACATCCGTTGTTGTCCTCAATAAATGGAAGGTTAAGACAAAATAACTTTTGTTGTTGGTTGGGATTAGAAAAAATTGTCCTTTGTCTTCAGGATGAATGAAACAATATGCACATTATCTTGAACTCTTGGCCTTAAGTTATGCAAATAAGAACTGGCACATTATGTGTGCCATCTCATATTTGTTCACTGTGCCTTGTTACAGATTTTTTTTTTTAACCTCAATGATTTACAACATGCAGATGTCATTTCTGCCATTACTTGCACCTTTTAGGCCATTTGGTATATGTTGTATGATTATGTTTACTGTTGCTTAGAGATTGATTGGAGGATGGGAAGATACTTGACAGTTAAATCACTTGTAAATAAGTTAATAGTTAGTGCATTTTAGTCCTAGGCATTCATGCATGATTGTTTTCATGTCGTCTTAAAGTTTTAAATATTTGCCTGAGCGGTTAATATTTCGAAAAAGCTGACTTATTTCCTGCTGTGCTTCAGGTTGGTGATGGGACCACAACTGTTGTTTTGCTAGCAGCAGAGTTCTTGAAGGAGGCAAAACCTTTTATTGAAGATGGAGTGCATCCTCAAAATCTGATTAGAAGTTATCGTACAGCTGGCCATTTGGTACAAGCATAGAACTATATAATTCTTATTGGCCTTTAGTGTTTGACATTAAATTTAAACTGGCTGTTGATTTAATCACTCATGCTGCTATAGGCAATTGAAAAGGTGAAAGAATTGGCTGTTAGCATTGAAGGAAAGAGCTTAGAAGAGAAGAAAAGCTTACTAGCTAACTGTGCTGCTACATCACTCTCCTCAAAACTCATTGGTGGTGAGAAGGATTTCTTTGCATCTATGGTTGTAGATG